GACGTGCGGAACACGTAGTGCGCCCGGACACGGGGGTCTCGGAACGGGCGTCGTTGAGGGGCGCAGGCAGCCCCTCAGAGCTGCTCTGCCCGAAAGTGGATCCTGCTGTTCATGGAGTGCAGGGAGAAATCAGAGAGGTGACATGGGAAAGTGTGGAGCCATGGTTCTGATTTCTTTTCAGAAGGAGCTGTGGTACTTGGCTGTGCTTTCTGAGGAGCTTTACAGGGTTTTGTCGGTAGTTTTGAATAAGTTATTCCAACCCTGTGGGAAGGGCAGTTTTTTAAAGCTTATTTACCAGTGTAGAACTAACATTTATCAGACTTGAATAAACCTCAGTGTCAAAGATACAGTAGCAAAGATACAGTAGACAAAGATACAGTAGCTCCTGATAACCTCGAAATGAAATTTTCTAGAGATCTTGAATTTAGGGTTGATAAAATAGAATCACAACTGTTTGTGTGTGATTGAGCATTCTATTATGGTTGTATTTTTTTTCTCTAACCTGCCCTCAGAGCATTCTGAGTGCAAAGCCGTGTGCCCGAGGACAGGACATCAGTTTGCAACCTGGCTGAAGAATCCAAGACTTGTAGCTGGTGGCTGTAGACGCGATGGAATGCCAAGTTGGGCCATGACGTGGCTGATGAGTCCTCTTCGTTAGCTCCGGGGATCGCGCTTTGCCATTCAGGGACTGATTATTTTGTGTTTGCCTGTTTGCCCGGGTGTGCTGGCCCGGTGGCGCGGTTTCAATGACTGCGGCCACGCTGGCGTGCGGGTTAGCAAGGCGTGTGCTTTCTTCATGGAGCAGGCGTTGTTGGCAAAGACGCGGGGGTCCTCAAGTGTCATCTGGAGTTCTCCATTGGGTGGAAGGCACATGGATTCACTCATTAATTTGCCAGTTTCCTTTATAAAACTTAGATTTGTGAACCATAGTTTTGGGTAGTAGAGGAGTGCTAGAAAACTGTTTAAATAAGATTTTTTTGCATGCCTTATTCTGTTAATGATGGTCATCCTGCTTCTGGTTCATTGGCTTCAGGTTCGTTGGCGTACAGGACAGAGGTACCTGCAGGGTTCTGGTTCTGCCAGGGTTAGAGTTCCTTGAGCACAGCGATGACAGCGCGCCGTGTGAGAGACTCCAAAGTTCTTTCTCCTCCTCTTAGAGCGCGTGTCCCTCTCTCTTTAGTGACCAGACAGAAAGGCAGCCGCAGGAGCTTCCGTCTGTCTTTGCATAGGCTGGTGCTGGGCTTTCAGGGGAGCGAGGTGAACTTTTGTGGTTTATATGTATTTTACTGCTGATTGAACTGGGGAAGGGCAAACAAAAACTTTGCAGCGTGGTCGTTAATTCTTTGCCGGACTTACCGCTTAATGTAATTTTATTTTAGAGACAGAGTGATCGGTCTGATGATGACGGCTTGCGACTTGTGTTCGGTGACGAAGTTGTGGCCGGTTACGAGACTGACGGCCAACGATATATACGCAGAGTTCTGGGCTGAGGTACGTGTGTTTCTTTTGTCTCCTCTCTTTTCTTTATGCATGGAAGTACCCAGGAAGAAAAAAACCAATCACAAGGGGTTTTCAATCGCTGTCTTAACGTGCTTGTTTTGAAGAGTGTTCGTTGGTGCATGCGCGTGTTTTGCTGTTTACTCTGAAGTGATTCAAAGAGCTAAGGGAGCTTCCCAATTTTGAGGTTACAGCTGAATTTAGAAAGTATGTCCTAACAGAAAGTGACCAAGCAACAGAACACCGAAGAGAATCTGTAAGGTTTTCTGAATCGCTAACTGTGAAGAACATATTTGCGTTTTAGAAATCCAAAATATGAAACCAGCTTCCAGGTCAGCTGCCTTGAAACGCATTTATAAAGCTGTAGTAGGAGTCCAGGAAGCGCTAAAGCAACTACAGCAAAGCTTAAAACTGTTCTGATCCCACCCTTTGAATCTTCTTTGTGAGCCAGCCCCACCAGCTGGGTCTCGGCGAGAGCTGATTTTTTAAGATGCTGGAAGTCACTCGCAGATCAGATGCACTGAGGACTGAAACAAGGCAGCGAGCTGTGCTAGTGCAATCGTGTCCATAAATAAAGATGCGGCCTCGCGCGTTTCTCACGCTGAGTAAATGTTCTGCCCGTTGAATTTTTAAAGTGGGAGGCCTCATCTAGAGTACTGTGTCCACTTCTGGGCTCCCCAGTTCAAGAAACATATGGAGCTACTGGAGAGAGTCCAGCGGAGGGCTACGAGGATGATGAGGGGACTGGAACATCTCCCCTACGAGGAGAGGCTGAGGGAGCTGGGCTTGTTCAGCCTGAAGAAGAGAAGGCTGCAAGGGGACCTTATAAATGCTTACAAATATCTGCAGGGTGGGTGTCAGGAGGATGGGGCCAAGCTCTTTTCAGTGGTGCCCAGTGACAGGACAAGGGGCAACGG